CCCTTCTATGAGACACTTTTTAGTGCTAGCATACTTTCTCATGTCTTCAATCATCTTCTCTACTAGGTAAAGCCCTGGGCATGAGGCCACAGCCCTACTTTCACTTAATTCATCAACTGTATTTTGTTGTCGTTGTTAAGTACCATCTAGTCGGTTCCAACTCATAGTCTTCTATAGGGTTTCCAAGGAGTGACTGGTGAGTTTCAACTACCGATCTTGTGGTTCAAACTGAACTTGCAGTCCAGTGTTTATCCTACAGCACCGCACCAGGGCTCCATTAACAGCATTATCTCTTAGGCTGGCACTGTGCCTCTGCCACTGACTTTAACTTCAAACCTCAGTGTCATTTTCTGAACTACGTTATCCTAACATGTGAAGTACTGCTTTTGCTGCACCATTTAAGGGGTTGTCTCTCCTGATGTGGCACTCCAGGATACCTCATTGAATCACAAGGTGAGCAGTTCAAACTCACCAGCCACTCCTTGGAAACCCTATACAGGGTCACTATGAATCAGAACCAATTCCACAACACTTAAAAACAACTACTCCTACTTGAGAGGGGAGGGCCTGGTAGGGTGCTCTAGAACCTCCCAGCACTACTAAGTCCTTCCAGTATTCAAGTTTTCAAGGCCTCAAGGAACTGCAATATATGTGGTGAAAACTAAAACCCATAACAGAATGGAAACAAAGTAGACACATTCAAATATGAATGTGTCACCAGTAAATTTTTACATGGTATCTTAAAACCAAACTTTTTTCCAAGAGAATCTGTCATCCTGCTTTATTTTCTCAAAATGTGATGGCCATGAACAGAGAATTTGATTTTTTTCAACTTTGTATCTCTGAGTCCCATACCTCTTCCTATCTTCCTGGATTAAATTGTGAAATTATATCAAACCCTATCCGGGGTTGCCTCTGCAGAACAATTCTTTATAGTTCTGGCTAGGGGCTCCTGACGTTTCCTCATTTGTTGCTGCCAGTTGCTATTCAGTCTATTCTGACTCATGGCTACCTGGTGTGTGCAGAGTAGAACTGCTCCACAGAGTTTTCAAGGCTGTGACCTTCCAGAAGCAGGTCACCAGGCCTGTCTTCCCAGGTGCCTATGAGTGGGTTCCAACCACCAACCTGTCAGCTTATAGTTGAGCACTTAACCATTTGCAACACCCAACGACTCCATAGTAATTAGACATAATGAACTAAATGATAGGTAATCAATTCTTTCTGATATTCTTGAGTATTGAAATTTCTTCTGGTATTTTTATTTCAAAGAACACTGCACTATACCAGTTAAGCATAATAAAAAGGACATTTGTAATGTTACAAAGTGAACTATACTGTTGTTGTTGTTAAGTGTCATGGAGCCGGTTCCGACTCATGCGACCCTGTATAGGGTTTCTGAGGCTGTAAATCTTTATGGGAGCAGAAAGCCTCATCTTTCTCCCGTGGAACAGCTGGTAGTTTCGAACTGCTGACTTTGAGGTTCACAGCCCAAGTAACCACTACACTAGGACTTTATTACTGCACTATTTAAATTTCCACATATATTGATTTTGTTTTTCATGTATACAATAGTTACATGGACATTTAAAACTTCAGAGTAAGATTTAAGTTTACTTTGCTTTAAAATGCATTTTGTTACACTTTAAAAATGAACCTCATTTATTACAAAAAAAAATTCTTCATTATGACTTTTATCAGAATGAACAGTATGAGTTGGGAAAAGTATGATTTAAAAAAGTCAATATGTCTTTTTTAAAATTACTGAGTTCTCCTTTTGCTTGGAACTTGTATTTCAGCATTAAAACACACTATGCACCCCCCAAAAACCTTTTCTTATAATATTCTCATCTTCCTTGTAGATACACTATACCAAAAGCATCTGAATTATAGCAGTTCTGAAGTCCTGGTGTGGCACCGGGTGGTAATGTGCCAGACTGTAAAATTGTTTGAATTGCAAGGTTGGTCGTTCAAGCTCACCAGTCGCTCCTTGGCAACCCTGTACAGGGTCCCCATGGGTTGGAATCAACTCAACGGCACTTAACAACAAATCTCTTCATTTTCTACATAATTGTGTTCCTTACACCAAAACATGTATATTAGATACTAATATTTAATCCCTTCAGTTACAAAATGAAAGTAAGGTCCAACAAGTTTGATAATCACAGTCTCAACCAACTTGTTCCCAAACTTCTGTTCATCCTTCCCACCTCAGTTCATAGGGAACATCAGATCACTTCTCTACAGACTACAGGCCTTCCAGTATTTCTCACACAGAGTTCCACTGTAGAATGTATTGTGTATATTGTGACTGCTTATTTACATGTCTGGTGTAGCACTGTAGGATCAGTACTGGACTGCTAACTGTGGTTCAAACCCACCAGCCACTCCTCGGAAACACTATTCAGGGTCCCTAGGAGTAGGAACCAACTTGACTGGCACTTAACAATAGTCTTCTATAACATTCAAGAGTATGTTAATCTTTGAACCCCAGAGTCTAACCCTGTGCCCGGAGCATGGGAGTACTCAATATATTCATGGAATTTATCAGTTTTTCCTTAGAAAACAAAAGCAAAAGTATAGATTTGTGCTAATAGTTCTCATTGTACCAGTGAAAATAAAAAATAAAAAAAAAAATATTTACCAACCTCAAAGAAATCATAAAATATAACTTCAAATACCTACAAGAAATTTTGTATTCCTTTTTGTAGAAGGTACAAAAAAAGTTTCTGAAATAAGAAATATGTAAAACAATAAACCCTTTCTCAGCTCTACTTGCATCTTTAGTGGATTACATTTTGTTTTCCAGCGCAATTCCTTCAGGATTTTATGATGTTATGGGGGAGTTTAAGACTGATTTTGAGAATTTTAAAGTACTTAGTAGTTTACAAAATGTGTTATGTAAGAGTCTATGTTTTTATTGTGGATTACAGATGTTAATATGACCATTACAATTCAGAATTCACATAATAAATTCTGCTACCGTTTAATTCTAGACAATAAACCCAATCTTTTTTTTTCCTTTTAAATAAACCCAATCTGAAACACATGCTGTTTAAAACTTTTGCAGCATTGTTTCAAAAATCTGGTGGTGTGGGGTTGGTTCCAACTCATAGCAACCATGCACAAGGTTTCCGAGGCTGTAAATCTTTACGGGAGCAGAAAACCTCATGGTTCTCCCATGGAACAACTGGTAGTTGCAAACAGCTGACCTTGCGGTTCACAGCCCAATTCGTAACCACTACGCTACCAGTGCTCCTTCTTTAAAAATCTAGTAATCCATTATTCTTTATCTGCTAGATTTTTATGCATGAAGCCTGAAAATAAATCAGAATTTGAAACTGTTTTTCATGACAGTAAGATATTACTCATTTATCTCATTTACCTTTACACACCAAATGCGGAATTATTTCATTAGACACCAAACTAATTTAAGTCTTCAATCAACCAGTGTTGAATATGTACTTATTCTGAATGCATGTAACAATTTAAAAAATGCAATCCTCTATTTTTAAATGCCCACATGTAGTATGTGCACAAATTTAAGTAGCGATTGAATCATACTTCATAGTTTCCTTTCCATAATGGAGTCATGATTTTAAATCATCTGCCAAGGTTAAGAAATTGCCCCACAGCATCAGAAATAAGCTGAGTGCTTGATCAATTGTGAAAATTGAAAAGATCACGATTCCTAAGATCCAGCCTAATGAAAAGCTGTGAATGAAGAAGCTATTCTGAGTGAGTTGTCAATGGTAATGAACACAAAACTTAATTTCCTGACATGCAAACCAGGCACACCAACAGGCATACTTTCAGCCAGTAACAGCTAGCTTTTTGTATTTCGCTCAATTAAGAAGGGTAGAGAAACTTTTAGTTGGCGACTGTCAGCATAAATCTGATTTTAAGTCGTGTCTTTTCTCCGGCACTCCTTTCCTTTCTTGTCTATTAACCCCAACTGTCAAAGTCACACACACACACACACACACACACACACACACACACACACACACACACACACACCGCGCCTCGCCAGGGGTCACTGGGTCAGCAAAGTGAAAGGAAGACCTAGGGGGGCAGAAGGCCAGGAGCTTGGTGGGCCTGGGGGCCAGGTGGAGATTGAGCCTCTCCCTTTGTCTCTGGTCCCCAGCACTGTTCTTGTCTCCCGCAAGTCGCGGAAGCGCTCGCCCCTCTCCCGCCGGACACAACTAAAGATGTAAAGAAACTTCCGTCTCCCGGGTCGGTTAGTTCTCTAAAATATCTTCCATTGGTCGTTTGCTTCACCCTCCACCAGTCACTACCGGGGAAGGGCAAACACAATTCCTGCCGGGGTCACAGGCACTAAAACTGGAGCAGTGTCTACCTGAGGAATTGGAGGAGGAAAAGTAGAGCTAGCAGGGCTTGGCTTCCTCAGCGGCACCCACTTCCATTCATTATAAAACCCTCGAGGGCACCGCATCACAAGTAGTGGGTGGGCAGGTGGTTGCGGGACTTTGGACCTTAGGGACGCATGAAGACGTGAAGCCTCCTCCGCTGTGGCCGCCTCCTCAGTTTGCTCCCCTCAGCGGATCGGAATTAGTAAAATAGTGCTAGGGCCAAATAGCCGCCCCCGGCCAGCTGTACTCCGCAAGGGTGCATCCCCCCGTGAGCGGCGGCCGGGAGGCCGTTCACCCATTAGGGGTGGAACGGACATTGCCCTCCTCCAGCCTCAGTCTCTGACTCACGAGAAAAGGACTAAATCTCCTCAGTTCACACTACAGAATTTTATTTCGGCATGCCTCCTTCTCTGGAGCCCTGACCGAAAGGGTTCCTACGCTTTCTCTCACTCTGACTCTGGTACCTTCCCACCGGGACTCTTGGGTGAGTCCGGGGCGGAGCCTGCAGGCGCTCCACGTGCGGCTAGGAGCTCAGCGCTTGGCCCTGGTTGTGCCTCTGTCTAGGCCACCACTTCTGGGCGGGCCAGGGGCGGAGACTCCGGGGGGGCGGGCCGGGGAGGCGTGGGCGAGGGGGTGGGGCGGACGCGGAGCGCTCATTCGGCTGCCCTGGCCCAGGGGCTGAGAGGAGCAGGGCAGACTCGGAGCGGGCTGGGAGAGACTGGGAGCTGACCGAGTCCGACGCTTTGTGCTTCGGACTTTCTGCGAGGTAAGAGTAGGAAACTGACGCGTTTAGGGGCCTCACAGCCCGCCTCTTCGCCCGGCCACCGCGCCCCGGCTGCCTGCTGTGCCCTCTGCCGGCCGGGCGGCGGAGGCGGCGGGATGGGGCTTGGGTGAGAGTGTCTGGGAGTCGCGAGCCCAAGCGGAGACAGTGCCCTCCTCTCCGTATCTTTTTTTCTCCATCTCCTCTGTCCCTTGGCACTGGACGTGGGGTACTGGGAGGGAGGACCACCTCCCTGCGAGTCGAAGCTGCTCCACGCCTGGGCGGGGGAGACGGGGCCCCGAGGCAGCCGAGCCTGGCAGCGGGGGAAACGCGGAGTTCCCCGGTCGCCTCTGCGGCGAAGGCGGGAGGTCGACTCGGGTTGCACCCTGGGCTGGGAGTGCTGAGCTCGGTTCCCGGGATCGCAGGACTCTCGGGTGGTCCCCGAAGCCGGTTCCGGGGGCGCCTGCCTGTCTCTGTCTCAGCAGCTGAGCTCCACATTCCTGGGGCTGTGCCCTCTCCTATTGGGCGCGCATTGGGTCCCGCAGCCCTGTTGCCCCGCCGTCCTGGAAGTTGGCGGAGCCTGGGGTTGATTGAGTTGGGGCTCGGCGGCGCCAGAAGGGGGCCTCTGTGGGATGCGAGTGACGGGCACGGCCTGCAAAATTTGGGTCCTGGGGGAGCTTGCTACGCTTAGCCTGGGCCCGGGCACTGGAGCCCACCATCCAGATCTCGGGGCAAGCCGGGCGCTGTCAAATCTGAACAACTAAGGGCCACAGGGCTTAATACATCTCGTAACCTAATGGTGAGGGCATTTATTCTTAAAGGCATGAAGAGATGAAAAGCTGTCAAAATAAGAATATTTCAAAGCAGAAATGAAAGCTGGCAGATTTTCAGGCCATGCAGTTGTGTAGCTAGTGTTAAAAGAAATATTAGCTCTTGTATCCTTCTCGTTTTTATTTTTTAGCAATATTCTGTTTTGCCAGTATTTCCCTTAGGAACTGTGTGTATTGCTCACAGCGGGGAAAGAAAACTTCAGCAAGTGTTCTCGAATTGCTTTTGACTTAAAGCCTGAATGTGGAGAAAACGTATCTCTTACTAAATTTTCCATGTATGATTCTTTCCCCTTCTCCTCTGGGACCCGGCGATGTTTGTTTATTGACTTTATAAGCATCTATTTAAATTTAGTTTTTGCACGGAATACTCTCCCTTGCCACAGGGTGTAGTTTAGGGATTAGAAAATGCTGCTGGAGAAAGCTGCTAGTGGCTTCATTTTCCAAGAATGTAAGTCATTTCCTTTCAGTGATTTCAGGGAGTTGATATTTCACAGCATCGAAACTTTGTGGGGAAATTTTTCCGTAATACATCTGTCAAGAAGAAAGATTTTTGACTTTTGTGTTGTTCATCTTGAAGCAGTACACAAATGTAGGCTCAGCTACGTTGATGGATAAGAGGATTTTCCAAATCTAGAGCATTAGGAGACTATTGTAGAAAGTTTTAACAAGCACCAAAACGTACTAACTGCCTGCAGGATAGAGTGGGGGAGGGGAGGAAGCGATCAGGGAGGCTGGAAAACAGATGCCTTTGCTGTTGTCCTTTGTAGTATAAAACATTCTATCACCTAAACGTTTTTCTTAGGTATAGTTTTGAGAAAAGTATAGTGTTGGAAATTAAAATACTCTATGAGACAGCTGGCATTTGAACCCTTCTTTCATTATATTTGTAAACATACTAGAGTCATATTTCAATATTAAAGTGGACCATTGGCAGGATTATTAGATGAAAAGGGTCCCCCAAGGGATATCTAGTATCAAGTTATCTGAAGGATATCTTTTCCAGAAAGTCGACTAACTGTACTATAAACTAATCCCTCCTTCTCTCCCTTAAATTGCCTGTAAGAATCCCTGAGAACTGACACTGATGGACGGGAGTAATCAGCAATTCTTGGGGGACTCAAAACACTTTAAAGGACTAGAAATGTTCTTTTTCTGTTCCCTTCATCTGTGGGGAGAGCAGTAAAGGGATGCTACCTCTTTTCAGCATGTAATTTGAATTTGCAGACTTAAAATGCCTCTGGCTTTAACTAAAGGTAAAATTCTGAAAACTACAGGGGCCATGATGAAGACACAGCTTTTGAAAGCAAAATGTCAATTGTGTCTTAAGTAACAGAGTTTAGCTACACGTCCTTAAAATCTATCATTCAACTGGGCTAGTTGAATTTTGTGTTGGGAGAGGGGTTGTAGTGCGTTTTCTAGTTTCGGGACTTTGTTTCTTCATTTAACTACGCTTATAATAAAGCTTTTGGCTTTCAGAAGTATGACATAATAAACTGTATACCCTTTTGTGGCAGATGCTTGAAAGTTTCAAACAGAATTGTTTTTGACTGAGCTGTCAGGTTGAGAGTGTACTGTAAATGAGTCCTGTCTCACAACTAATTATTTTGATAAAGAAATTCTTTCTAGTTTTCAACTTGAATGTCGCACATTTTGATTTCCAAAGCGGTGGGTTTAAAAAAAGAAAGAAAGAAAAACCAAAAACCTGCAAACAATTATTTTATTACATGAAAGCCAGTACCAAGAAAAGATTAATTCAGTCCAGATGTAAAAATGTATGTGAATTTTAGATTTGGATGATCTCAACAAGTTTTCCCTTTTGTTGATGAAGCTGCCTGGGTCCCAGATGGCATTCACAAATAAATGGTCCTGAAGGTGGTTTTCTGAGTTAGAACGAAATTTCATGAACCTTCTCTAAAGTCATTTTAATATTGTTTGAGGTCTCTGGATTCCTCCTGTGGGTTAATGTGCTTGGACTGCAAGGTCTGTTTGAACTGCAGGATCAGTGGTTCAAGCTCACCAGCCGCTCCTTGGAAACCCTATACAGGGTCGCTATGAGTCAGAATTGACTCGATGGCACTTAACAACAGCAAAGGATAGAAAGTTTTCTGCATTTATACAGAGGTAGGACTTTCCAATAATTCATTAATGTAACCTTGACCCCAGTGTGGTAGATTGTGTCCATTTTTCTAAGTGGGAGAACAGGAAGTAATCAGCATTGTGTACCGTTATGGACAAAGCATAGAAGTGTTGGCTTTTATTTCTTTAATTACAACTTTTTCTTTCAAAAACTTTTTTTTTTTTTTTTTTTTTTAAGTGTGCTTACAGTCTTTAATAGAATCATGCTGTAACCCAGTTTGTGGTTGCCTGGCTTCAGGTATAGCATCTGTCTTTGTGTGATGATTCTTATCCTTCTATCTACCCCTTTCCTCCAAAAGAGAAACAGTAAACACAATTTATAAGAAAACTTTAGTATATTTCGTTAACTAGTGCCTCTAACACTAGAGCTATAAAGAGGATCTATTGGACATCTAAAATGATATCTTTTGAGGAAGTCTGTATATTTTATAATTACTGATTTTGGGAATTTGTTTACATTGTGCCTGTGTATGAAACAGTTGTAGAGGATGGCTGTTAGGAAAGATTTAGTGCAGGAATTTTGAGTGTTGAAGTTTTGTTAAAATGTATATTTCCTAAAAGCAAAACAGAGATAAAAAGCTGTATTGTTCTCTGAAATTAAACTGTGATTCAGAGAATAATTGAGAGGTCTTCTTGAATTGCACAGTAGCCTGAGGAAGAGGCTTTGGGGGCTATCTTAAAATAAGTAGAAACAAATCAAAGGAATAATTTGAGAAGAAAGATGAAGTCCAATACTTGACATTGGATTGAAAGGAAAATATAAACTTAAAGAATGTGTATTTAAAACAGTCTAAAATAGGGAGAATTTTTATTTAAAAGTGGAAGTTAAGAAATAAAACTTTTTTTAGCTGAGGAAAAGCATTAGAATTGAGATATTTTAAGTGTCACAGATGTGAGTCCTGGGATACCACTGTAGGACAAGCACTAGACTGGTAGCCACAAGGTCGGCGGTTCAAACCCACCAGCTGCTCCTTGGAAACCCTATACAGGGTTGCTGTGAGTCAGAACTGACTTGATAGCCCTTGACAACAGCAACAAAAAGGGTCACTGAAGGAGCCCTGGTAGCACAGTGGGTTAGGCATTGGGCTGTTAACCAAAAGGTTGGCAGTTCAAACCCAAAGGCTACTCTGTGGGAGAGAGATAAGGCTGTCTGCTCCCATAAAGATTTACAATCTCAGAAACCCTGTGTAGGGTTACTGTGAGTTGGAATCGACTTGATACCAGAGGGTGGGCTTATATGGGATTGCAATGAGTGGGTGATAGTGGGTTGCACTTGGTTTTTGTAAGGTCTATGTAAGTAGCCTTGGTGCTACAGTGGGTTAAGGCTGGGACTGTTAGCTGAAGTGTCAAGGGTTCAGATTTCCCAGCTGCTCCATGGGAGAAAGATGAGGCAGTCCCCTTTCATAAGAATATACAGTCTTGGAAATCTTATGGAGTAGGTCTGCCCTATGGGGTCTCTTGGAATCGACTCCCCACCAGTAGGTTTTTTGGGGTTTATAATATCTCTGTACAACATGAACTAGTGCTGCTAATTGACACTCTGGTATCACTGCCTGCACTAGTGTTGAATCACTTGTTTAATGTCAAGTAATGTGCTCGGACTGCACCCTTACTGCCTCACCTCCCATCCCCATCCATTCCCCATTTCCAAGGCTGGAAACATTGTCTCAGCTCTAAGGATACTACAGCAATTTAATTCATCTGTCAGCTTTTTAGGGAAAAATAAGGTCCACTTTCATGCTGTATGACCAGAGGGGCTCTACAGCAATGTTTGGGGTAAAAGCAAGCAGTCTGTTCTTCTTCTTCTGATCATCTTATATGATTTAGTGGTATAGTTACTTCTCATGCAAGTTTGTGTACGATCATTTTTCACATGTATCAAATGTAACGACCGTGCAGTATATACCATGTTCCCTTTTAGAGCATTGGGAAAGGAGACGCGAATCACTGATCTGACGCTAGTTGTATTGCTTCAGAAAGAGAGAAAACTGTGGTGCTGAAACAAACCCTTCGATGAATCAAAAAGGCCAAAGGAGAAGG